GTATATCTCAATTTATTTTGCTGAGTTCGGTGTGTCTGCTGGTTTGTTTGCGCGTGTGTTTGTTGACTGTACATAGCCAGTTTTGTATTGCATATATATTGGTTTTTGTATGCCTGTGTTGTTATTTGGTACAGTATATCGTATCCGGAAGACTGTGTGCATGCGTGTTGGTTGTATTCACGTGTCTTTCTGGTATACGGCGCTGTTTTGTATATCCGTATAGCTTTCACATTTAATTGTCATTATTACAGACCGACATCCGTTGGCCCTCCCATCTTCATCGATCAAAAATTGTGTTCACAAGTCCAAGATATTTGTTCGTTTTCAACTCTCTCTCGTATACTAGTTGGTAGGTTGCTGATCATTGCTCTGCTCCACTGTATTGTCAGGTGCTTGGTACTGTCATGTTGACAGGCGGCTTCTTTGCCTTCAACGGAGCGAGTGTCCTGCTCACACATCTCAATCTACCCTTGGCCTACGAACACTTTTCGATAGCCATGATCAACACAGCCATGGCTGCATCCGGTGGTGGTGTATGTGGTACCCTCGTAGCTATAATCGTCTACAAGAACTACAACATAATGGACATGAATATGAGCATGCTGGCCGGTTGTGTATCGTCCTGTGCCGGGTGCATGTACTACGACGTCTACGGCAGCTTCATTATAGGCGTCCTTGCGGCGTTGATGTACTTTTACACCCGTTTTTTGGTGAACTTTTACCACATTGACGATCCGTTGGACGCCATCGCCTTGCATGGAGGTGCTGGGTTTGTAGGGGTCATGTCCGTTGCGTTCTTCGCAAATGATGCACAAGAAGGCGTTGTGGGGCTATTCTATGGCGGAGGTGGGAGTCTGATCTACAAACAACTGGTGGGTTGGTTCGCCATCTGTGGGGTTGCTTTTGTAGCCGGCCTGCTCATTTTCCTCGTGCCCTATAAAATGGGCTGGTTGCGTGTGAGCCACGAACACGAAGTGGAAGGACTGGATATGGCCTGTTTTTCGTGCGCATACCCGGAGGTGCAGGCTAAGGGAGACTTTATCAAGTTCAGAGAGTTTCTGGCAAGTCAGGAGATGTACGAGGATTATGATCGCCATAGGGGTGCGTTTCTGGACTGGATGGCCCAGGGAAACAGCACTGAAAACGAGAGCAACATGACTATACAAGAATCTTGCGAAAAGTCACCCATGTCCTTTAGCCATGCGCCTCTTGCCAGCGGAAGTGGTGTTGATATGATTGATGATAACAATTCCAGCGATTCTACCGTGCCCAGCACAGTGCACTTGACCTGATTGCTGAACGGTCCAAGGTACTACAGTTTGGCTGGCCAGACAATCATGCTTAGCTACACAAGTCGCCTGCTCAATTCGAGAATGTTAATATTTCATAAGTGAGTACCAAAGTAATTACAGTCATCTCTGACAGCCTCCGGACTGTCTTGTTGGTTTATACATGTGCCTGGGCAACGTCCCTCACTAAAGATAGACAATTATAGAAAAGTAGCAGAATTCTTACCTCTTACGGTCAGTTGATGGAGTGGAGTGATTCGTTGATTCGTGAGAATAGTCAGGGAATAAACCCTACCTACAACACCGATTTAAACCCTTTTGAGCTGCCTCGTTGATACTAGCGCGCTCGTGCCCGATTACCAGTTTTCGCTTTCGAGGAGTGAATATGATGTAGCAGAGCGATCACCGCATATAGCCAACTGAACGAATGGGCTGATATATGAGTGTAGGCAGAATAAATACATACTACCTATGATGCCGCCGTCTCCGACAACCGGTGAACTGTCTCACTACTACTGCGCTCGCACCCAAATAACAACTACGCTTACAAGTAAACTGCAGCAATACGACTATCGCATAAAGCCAGTTAAACGAGTGCGCATGATATGTGAGAGTGGCTTATGACACTCCATACTACGTGCAACTCGCCGTCTGGAAATGCATGCAAGCTCAGGCCTGGACTGTCTCACTGTTACGCTCGCGCTCGTGCGTAGAGAACAACCTTCGCTTGACACGAACGAGTGCACAAGAGTAGTTGAAAAATCGCTACTAGTATGGTTGCTATGATAGGGTAGTCAGTTTGGTTACGTACAACGTACAACAGCGCCAATAGCACTAAAAGCATACTTTACGTGTAGGCTATCTGGTTTTTCCTTTTGCGCCCGTGGTTGGGTAGCTTCGCTTGACACGGACAATTGCACAACACGCTCTACATAAATCAGTTGAGTAAATGGCTTGCTAAGATACACTATTTATTTTAGTCACGTACAATGCACAGCAGCGACAATTTCTATCGAGCGCGGAGCTCACGCTTGGGCGATCTCGGCGATACATTTGCGCTCGTGCCTGAGCAACAAACCCCGCTGGAAATGCACCAGAAGCGCCTTCCACATCAGTTCATCACCACCCTGCATTGCACAGGCCACCCGCACATCCCGTTGTTGATCAGGCGCGCACCTGCACAAGCTTTCTCTCGTGTCCCTTGCCAGCCTATCGCCATACTCTGCTCGCGTCAACTGCAGCACGCAGTCGCATATTGGCAGTATCGTAGTGGCCACCTTGAATATAGGATCAAGCGCATTATCGGCCGTCCCGTACTCTCCACCCCTGTGGGACTTCTTTGCACCTGTAAGGTCAGCTGAAGATTTATGGGGCTCAGCCTGTCCTATACGCAGACTGGGTGTCGAGTCCATACGTCTATCTTGGGTCACTAAACCCTGTGTGCTAACGACAGCCGCCTGCAAACGTCTGCTCTTGTCCCTTCGGTATTTCCTCGACCATGTGTTCCGGTACGCACACCACTCGATCTTGTCTTGCAGCTCCTCGTGTGTTTGGACCTGCACACTCACCTCAAAGTCAAGCAGAGTCTCCATAACACACTCGTAAACCAATGTCCGATACATTCGCTCCACCTTAGAGCCTTCGCCTTTGCTTTGTTCCGATGTTCGGATATAAGGGGATGGTTTCTCACAATGCAGCGCTATGGTGTATACTCGTGCACACGGAGTCACTGAGGTCGTTCTGTGCAGAGGTGCAGGTGACTCTGGGGTGCGTTTCAGGCCTTGTGCAAGATTTTGGGTGTACGGGCCAAGCCGCCCTTCCTCCGTTGTATATCCTTCTTGGCGTGCCATTGGTCGCACCTCGTGTCTCGTTTGCTTATGTGACTCTGTCAGCACATTAGACGCGGACCCCGCCTGAGGTTGTGAAGGTACTGTAGTGTACCTACACACACACGCACATGGGCACCTACTCATGCACGCACGCGGGTGCTCTCCTGCGAATACGGACCCGCCTTGGCCGACATCTGGCACCAGTGACCACGCAATGCCCCAGCGCACTGTGCGACCCTGGTTGAAGACGGTGTGTTTGATTCTCTGGACACCCAGGCTCTTGAGCTTGCTCAGCAACGGGTTGAGCGACGACTTCTTACCTACCATCGATGTGTACCATCTCACACGCCCGCCCACACGCATACTGTCCTCGATCATCTTGGACACAAACCCCAACTCCCCTCCATCTGTCTGCATCTCATTCTCTGCGCCCGTACACACGGCGTGTGGTAGGCGTTGCTTAGCAACACCACCTGTTTGAGCTTCGTGCGCATCTGCAAAGAATGGGGGGTTGCACATGACAAAGCCATACACGTATCGCGAATCGAGTACACCACATAGAACTCGCTCAGCATCACCTACGTGTACTAACTTTATAAAGTCGTTGAGGTTGTTCCGACTCACGTTGTCGCAAGCGTATTGGAGAGACGCAGCGTTGATGTCCGACCCTTCGAAGTGCCAGCCGTACAGTGTGTTGCCTAGCAACGGGTAGATACACGATGCACCCACACCAACATCAAAGCCTAGTACAAACTGACGAAGTTGCTTTGCATCCGAGTTTGAGCCAGTGGCTGCAGTTGACTCTGAAACTGTACCTGAGCTACTATCTGTAGTTTCCACGCAATTGCCAATCCCGTCCCTGTGCTTACGCTTACGATAGAGGTTGCTCTCTGCTTGCTTGCCGTCTTGCAAACTATTGTGAGATGCTGTTTGTATCTTATTCAATGTGAAATCATTGTGGGTCTGTGCATTTCTATTGATGGCCGAGGCTTCTCTCTCACACAGATTCAACGGCCTGTCCACAATGCTATCGCAGGTGTGTATGCTGTGTGAGTACTGGGCGTGCTCAATCAGATCGGCAACCCAGTGGATGTAGTTTTCCCGAGACGTCACAGTGGGCACTAGTCGATCCAGAGGCATGCTAAGCTTAAGTCCATAGTGCACGTGCAACAACGCATACAGCAATTCACGCACAGCTACATCGTCCTTGAAGTCCAGAGTAAATCTGTGTACTGAACTGGGTTGTCCAACTAGTTCATCCATGTAAAACTCGCCACTATGTGCCGCTGCTTCCTGTACATTGCCGCATGCGGCAGACCCGGTCGCTTCCATACGATCTTGTGTGTCGTGCACATCTACAGCCTCACCTTGGCTCTTCTCCTCATTATTCACTTGCAAGAGCGTGTTATCTGTCCGATCTTCCTCTACACCGTTCAATTGATTCCACATCTCGCTACTTATCTGTGACTGCGAGAGCGTGTTATCATTTCGATCACTCTTACCCACGCAACCCCTATTCACAGGCACAAGGTGTGCCTTTAGCGCTGGCCATTGGGTAGCTAAGGCTTCAAAATCAGGTGGCGTGTACCTGAACTGATTGCGCGGGTGCATGTGTTGGTTAAGTGGAGCGCCACCTCGCGCATATTTGTCCCTATTCGTGAAAGTCATATTTAGCTGCTGTATACTACTAGACAGCATGCACAGTCCTGGAGATAATACCTAGTTATAATAATATATATAAATTAAGTTTATATAGATATTCATGTGTAATCGAAAGTGGGAGTATATAGTTATTTATATGTATATATATATATATATATATATTTGTATTTATATATATATAACTTTCAATGGAACTTGTGCGTGTATATACAGTGACAATTTCAAAGTTTCAACGATATATATATATATATATATATATATATATATATATATATATATATATATATATATATATATATATATATATATATATATATATATATATATATATACTAG